CCAGCAGAGAAATTGAGGCTTGTTTGCGGGGGCTTTGTGGGGCCTGAGGGTTTATGATTTGGGGCTTGTGGTTAATGGTTTGGGGTTTAGGGTTTGGGGTTTAGGGTTTAGGGTTTAGGGTATGGGGTGTAGGGTCCATCACGCTTTTGAGATGGTGCTTACTAAGAGGACTATGGGACTCAGTAACTAGGGTCCTATTTGGCAGGACATGTAGGTATGCTTGAAATTCTTACCCCAACTTGCAAGGCAAATTGAGCCTTACTTACTCCAGCCCACGATCCTCTACAGCGAACCCCAGAAAGTCGGCACACAGGTTTAGGAGGCTTAGTCCTAGGATCACAAATACTTGACCTTAAGGGCATGAGGACATTAATGTTCCAAACTTTCTGGCTTCTACTGTAAGTACTTCTAGGCTAGCAGTGCGAACATAAGACAAGCCTTGCATTGAACTGGACCCTAGACCCGAAACCTAGACCCTAAATCCTAAACCCTGAGCCCTGAACCCTAAACCCTAAACCCTAAACCCTATACCCTAAACCCCAAACCCTAAGCCCTAAACCCCGAGCCCTGAACCTGAAACCCCAAGCGGCAAACTTAAAACAGCTTGACTCGAGCTGGTTGGCAGCATTTTGCTCTTGGGATTTGCCAGTTTTGGGTTTTGGGGATTTGTTTCAGGATTTTAGCGTTTAGGGTTTCGGGACCTAGACCTAGACCTTGAACCTAGAATCGTAGTGCCCTCATTTCGGGGATACATGAAGTTCTCGAAGCAGCAGCCGCCTTGAATACTCGAGGTGGGTTCTATCAGGGCCTCTTGGTTGTTTGCTTCCGTTCTCCCCGATGTGCTTTCGGATCTTCGTAGCTGTGTCAGGCGGCTAGTATAGTCGCGCTGAAGGTCTAAGGTTCGCATATCCTCAAATCCCGGAGCCCACAATGCCCTCTACGCCAAACGCCTCACAACGCCTAGGTGAGGAGCTGGTCTTCCAGGTGGACACCGGGTTCGTCTGTTTTAACATTCGGGTTCGGCTTTCCCGATGTTGAGGTGGGAGGTGAGAGTATTAGGTAGTATTATGGGTACCCCTTAAAAAGTACCCCTTCTGAACCCTACTTTTGGCTCTCTTAAAAGGGACCTTATTGAGAGGGTCTATATTACCAAGGGTCCCCCTAATCCTAGAAGAATCCCAAAGCTTGTTTGCGGCTTTGAGAAGCATTTGTGGCGTTGGTTGTGGCTCAAACGGAGTGTCTCCCGGTTGACGGGCAACTGGGTGCCTCCCGGCTAACCGGTAGCATAACAGCCTAAACGTGAGATGTGATTCCGTTACCATACTGAACAGCTGCCAAAAAACGCCATAGCAGTGCATTGTTATGATAGCCATACCAACTGTAAAGCAAGTTTGGGCGAAGCCAGCACAGTCAATGAAGGGTTTTCTTTTTTGGTAGAGACTGCGTATTATCCACATATGTACCTCGAACCATACCTACTCAATATCCTCGTACCTGTAGTTCTTCAGCCTAGAAGACCCTAGATTCCGAAACCTAAATCCAAAGCGTTAAACCCTAAAAACTAGACTTGCGAGACCCTAAACCCTAGGTTCTTGGAGCCATACTTGCTAAGTCTGCTAAGTCTCCTTGCAAGCCTATCATGAAACCCTAGACCCTAAACCCGAAACCCAGAACCCTAAACCCGAAACCCAACACCCTAAACCCTTAACCCTATCATGAAGCCAATCTGCGAGGCTGAACTGCCAGCGAACCCTCTCTTCTACCTGCAGGCTTGCATTGCTGTTCCGGGGTCCCTCTATTTTGGCGTTACCTAGGGTTTCGGGGTTTTTCGTAGTTTCGTCTGTTGGGGTTTTGCCAGGGCTTTTAGAGCTTTACCGCTTGAGGGTTTTGAGTTTGGCGTTTGGTGCTTCAGGGTTCATCGGGTTTAGGGTTTTGAGTTTACCGTTTGGTGCTTCAAGGTTTAGGGTTGAGGGTTGAGGGTTGTGAGTTTAGCGTTTGGTGCTTCTTTTTGTTTAGGTGTCGGTTTCGGGCCCTGGCGGAAACCGTTTAAGGAAGAATCACGAGGACCATAGCATACGGGAGCTACATCTGACACCCTAAACCCTAAACCTTAAACCCGAAACCTCATACCCTAAACCCGAGACCCTAAACCCTAAACCTTAAACCGTAAACCCTAAACCTTAAACCCTAAACCCTAAACCCTAAACCTTACCTGCTACTCTGCGTGTGCCTCTTTTTTCAGCCCGGGCTGAAATGACAACCCCATTTAGCCCTTAGGCTATTCATGTTGTGTGCACAACACAATCAGCCATCGCATGATCGAATCAGCCTTCCAGTTGATGACAGAATCCGAAATATGCATAGAAATCCTACCGTCGATGGCCGATGAAGCTTCAGATCAATTTATAGATCCCGAATACCCTCCAACCCACCTTCCAAACCTCAAAGAGAGAGTTGTATCGCGGATGCGGCTGCCAACTGATGCGCCTACTGGGTGACTTGGGGCTGGCGGTCGACTCTCGGCTGAACTTTTCCGCTAGCGTGTCAAATCCTTGTAGTCGAAGTGGCACTTAATCAAATACCGCTGTATGGTGCGGGAGCAGGTAGATCGTGCGGAGGTTCGACGAGCCAATCTAGCCACCTGTCCAATAAAATCCTCACTTGATTCTGCCAAAAAGCAGGCAGGTGATAAAATCCTGTCACAGCCTTTGTCGAGCAATCTCTCTACACGTAGGCCCATATGTCGATACATATGTAGCGAGGGCTCCAAGTGAAAGCGGCATAAACCTTGTTGTTGGCACCGCCCCGCCAAAAAGTAGTAAGCGGCACAGAACATGTTCACATTGAAAGCTACTCCACGAGCGGTCTTTCTATCCAGCCAAGCACCGTTGTGGTAGAGGATCTGGAAGAAACGAACCATGGAACATGCCCCATCCAGTACAGCTTCCAACACGTCTTTTTGAAACTGCAAGAGTTCCTGTGGACCAGGTGGCTCAGCAAGCAAACTTGTTCCAGATCGAGCATCTGTCACGATGCCGTAGCGGATCAAACGAACCAGCCAGCGTAACACCAACATTGTGTCTGAGCCTTTCCAACCGGCCCATGGGAAACTTGATTCCCTGTCGAAATGAAGGCCGTCCCTCGTGAAGGCTTTGCAATGTGGAGTGCCTTTGAGTTCCTTCGAGCAGCAGAAAGAAAAGTCGTCGAAGGCCCGGGCCATCCTTTCATCAAAATTCAGTGCAGCTGCACCCCACGTGTTCCACGAAGCCAGGAGTACCAGGGCAGAAGCACCGAAATGCCGTCCAATCCCATACTTGCAGACATGAAAGGGGTCACTCCCTTGGGTTGAAAAGGCACTCAAATCCACAAACCCGAAACCCAACACTATGTTGTGTATACTATATATGACCTGAAGCCGAAACTTGTGAGAAACTATACAAACCTGTTGTACAATACACAATGATCTGTTGGATTCTTTCAGCCCCAATGGAAGCAGCCCAGAATCGGAAGACGAACTCGGGCACATCAAGGCTGAATGGTATGCTTAGAAGCTGATTGGTGCAATTTGCATCCCAAGGACGCACTTGTCCAATAGTTGAATGCCATGCAGCCTCCTGAGACATGTCCTCCCAGGGAAAGTTTTGTTTGCCACCGAGACAAAAGGGGCAAATCCCCTTATCGAAGCCCAGCCTATTGAATGCCCGGTTCAGCATTCCCATTTTCGTCAAAGCTGGCGAATCGCCTTTGACCCCCAATAATACACCGTAGAACTTCTTGCCGCAGTGTTGTACACCTGCATGAAAAAGGTCTTGGCATTTGACTGATACAGCATCCAGCGTGTTGCGGTAAACGTGCACAAGCTTCCCCTTGTACCAAAGATGTGGAAGTACGGCCAGCAAAAATCGTGATTTCAAGGAGCTGAGCTTAGCAGTGTGCCGTTGGGCATCCAACAGAGCTTTTGTTTGAGCTGCGCCACGGAGGTCTGTTTTCCGGCTCTCTTCGTAGATTGCTTTCGTTCTCAATCCGAGAACTGTTTCAAAGGCAAATATCATGACTGGTGACTTTCGATGTCCCCGCCCTTCATCCCCGAATAGGAAATAAGGCAGGCATGAGTCCAGGTGGTCGCAGTGAGTTGCGAAGACAGGATGCGAAGGATTTTCTTGCCTGTAGGATTCCCAAAAGGCCCGCAAATGATGACGTAGATCCTCGTCCTCAACATTGTAGCCAGCTAGCAACACCTCTGGTCGATGTTGCAAAAGGCATGAAAACCAATCCGGAACATGCAACATAGGAACTTAGCGTAGGCCTTGCTTCAGCAAGGACATGAACACGGGAAGAGCCAGACCCCACGTAGCGATCAGCTTGTGCAGACGGTTCTCAGCATGAGTCACATCAATCGATTTCAACAGCCGAATGCCCCTAAGGAGATCGGGGGCTTCTTCGTGGATCGCTCTGGCCAGTCGCACTACTTTCGCTCCGGAGTCCTTGGGTTGAACAGTGTCACATCTGCACAAAGGCCTTACGAACTTCACACTGTTCAAGCGTAGACATGCATGCATACATTTATTTATACACAGATATGTAGACATGCATAGACATGCGTATCCAGATACGTACACATATGCATGCGTATACACACCTTCATATACAAACATTGCATATAAATATTAATATATGTATATATATATATATAGATATGCATGTGTATGTAACGATATATGTATACATTTTATATACATGTACATGCACTCACGACCGACAGCCTATATATATATATATATGTATGCGTACATGTCTTTCCCAAGTTGCGTGCATGTGTGTTTTCACTACTGTACACTTATGAAGAGATCGAGATAGAGAGAGGGAGAGAAGGAAGGGCTTCTAGTTGCGACGGTTTTGGGTCTGGGGTTGTAGGCATCCGTTTTGGGGCTACGATGGTTCTGGGTCTGGGGGCCAGGTAAACTTCAGGCATCCATTTGATCTTTAGGGTTTATAAGGTTTTGGGTCTGTAGGGTTTAGAGGGATATAAGGTTTAGAAAACCGTTGGACAAACAAGGCTCCCAGGGATGAGTTGGAAAACTGCTTCTATCTATCCAACCGGTCTTACCACATGCGTTCGGCTGCAGTAAGCACATGGCACAAGATTGGTGCCCCATCTATGCGTTGTAAAGGGTTCTCTCGGAGTGGTTGTATGTTGTAGAAAGATTTAAAATGACAGTCAGGTTACATAGGTTTGGGTTTATATTGTTAAGTAGACCTATTAGCACCACGTGGCTCCATTGCCCAGGGATTCCACCAGCTTCGTCGCCGCGGGACCAGGACCTGCGATGGGCGGCATGTGGTACTTGTAAAGGCTTTGTGCGTCCAAAGGGGTATCGGGCTTGTGCTTGAAGTTAACGACTTTGGCGATGGAGGTTTATAGGATTAAGGTTGTCTGGGAACGTCACCTCGAGGGCTGCCCTTTTGCACCGCGTTGCGAGCTCTAGCTTCGGCATCCCAGTTTCGATCAGTCTGCTTCGGACACACGTCGTAGCAGCTTGTAACATCTGTGGCTAAACCACAGACAAAGAAGCGTCTTTCTGAAACGGCCACAGGCCCAGGTTCCCTACATACAGGTTCCTGCCTCGAGGAGGCAGCGTGTGGAAGTATTGCACTATTCATTACTTAGTTCTGCTTTGTTGCCATGGCCACCTTCTCCAAACATAGCAGGCGCCTGTATACTCCCGTGCCATCTAAGACCGTCGCGAAGCAACATTGAACTTCAAACTACGGATGACTCTTTCCGGTCTTCCTTGTGGCAGGATCAGCCTTCTCCTTGCCGCTGCCATTCGCCTTCGGCGGTGGCGCCGGGGCTGCATCGTTTGGTGCAGGCACTTGCTTAGCCTTCGCCTTGGCCTTCGGATTGGCTGCTTTCTTCGGCATAGCAACGGTTTTGAACTTGGCTTCGAGGGTCGATGCCTCGATCGACCTCAGTCTCTTTCTCTCTCGCTCTCACTCATACTCCCTCCCCCTCTCTCTCTTCTCTCTTTTCCTCTCTTATCTTCCGTGCACAAGTCGATACAGCCTAATAATGCAAGCTCGGCTCCCCTTCTTGCCCTTCTTGAAGAGCGCCTTCATGTCGTCCTTATGCCTTAAGGAATATCGTATCGGCACTAGAATCCCCAGTTGTTTGTGCGGTCACAGCACACTCCGAACTGCTGCACCCTCCAAGATGCTTCTGGCTGTACCCCTCGACAGAGCCATCTGCATAGATCGTTGTGAGCTCCTCATGAACACTGTCAAGATCCAGCATGCACTTGTTGATCTTGTCAAGCAACCTGACGGGCGAACCCCAACCCCCTTATAAGGCTTGGCAACAACAAGAACAACACAGCAGATTCAGCAAAGAAGCGTGCTCACTGCAGGAGGGCGAGCTACCCCCTCGAAGCCTGACTCCAGCCGACCGCCCATGTCAGCCAGCTTGGTAGTCCTGGCCAAGATACCATCCTGGTAGGCAACGATGAAGTCACACGGGTCTTGCCCATCGGTCAAATTCGGCAAGGGCGCATCGCCTGCCGCTAGCTGTTTTATCTAAGTCTGACCCACTCAGCATAGACAATGCAATTCAGAAACCAACAAATCTTGTATCTCGGACCTTGCTTGCCCTTCCCACCAGATCCTCCCTTGCCACCGGGCGGAGCAATCGTCACCACGTCAGTCGAGGACCCTGGCAGATCAGACCCCATACCTCGAAAGTCGAGGTCGAACTCCATGCCCTTGCCCACGGTGGCAAAGCCGTCATCATCGACACTCACACCGGACTGCACAGTCGTCGTGTCCCTGTACTCCATGCGTTCAGTCGCTGACATGCTTGCCGAAGTCTCTTCCTCGTACCAGTACTTGATAACCTTGTCATTGTAGATGTCCCGCCTAAGCATAGCAAGCTGCCCCCGGGAACAGTTTGCGCAATGTTATTGTGTCCAAGGTGCCGCAGGAACTTTGGGTGCTGCTGGCAGAAGAGCTTGATCTCGGCGATGCGGGGCCTGACCGAAAGCTGGGGGGTTCATTAGGGCACTTTGGGATACAGTAGTTGTAGAAATAGAACTAGTAGTAGTAGTAGCAGTAGTAGTAGTAGTAGTAGTAGTTGTTGTTGTTGTTGTTGTTGTTGTTGTTGTTGTTGTTGTTGTTGTTGTACTAGTAGTATAGTAGTAGTAGTAGTAGTAGTAGTAGTAGTAGTAGTAGTAGTACCAGCAGCAGCAGTTTTGTTGTCGAGGTTTTGTTGTCGAATTGTAGTAATAGTCGAAGTAGTCGTCTATAGTATATAGATCCTAGGATCAATGGAACATTGCGTTGTGGATATGTTGGCTTGTTCTGGGGCCACTGATGGATACAATAACTGTTCAGTAAGGCTGCGAAGGATATGTTGACGGATTGCCTCTGTTGTCCAGGGACTTTATGGCTTTGGGGTTTGAGGAACTTCGGAGGCTTCGGTCAAGTTGATTGAAACTTTCAGCTTATTAGGCTTGGAGTTTATGGGCAGTGGGCTTCGAGCGAGGGGTTGCTTCAGTTTATAGCAATATAGGGTTGAGGGGTGTAGGGTTTATAATGGGGGGCTGGGGTTCTGTGACTATTTAGTCTATTTGTTAACCAGGACGTGATAACCGGACCTATAAAATAATACCTCAACAGCATAGCTTAAGTTGAAACATTATTTATAGGTCCGGTTGACACGTCTTGGTAGTTGTTGTAATAGTAGTCGTGGTCGTGGTAGTTTTGGTAGTTTGCAGTAGTGGTAGTGGTAGTGTAGAGGTAATGCTAGCGGTAGTGGCTCTGCTGGAGGATTATTGGTTCAGGATGATTTTCCATGCATCCCAATCGTGCACGTAACCTTGCCCATCTTACCCCCTTCTCAGTGGATCCCAATCAGGTTGTGGAGTTGAAACGACTATGCAATTTAGGATTGGTTTCGAATCCCAAACCCCAAGAAAGAAGGGCTGCACTTCGACCGATCAGTTCCTATGAACCCAGACAGCTTCTGGATACCTGGCAGATGTAAACCTACAACCTATAAACCCTAAACCCTACATACCCTAAACCACCCTAAACCCTATTATAAACCCCAGACCCTTAACCTATCACCTCGGATCTTCTCTTTGGTTTGCCAACAAAGGTAACTCCAGAGTACTACGTGTACTTCAGCCCTGCGGCTCCGAGAGCTTGAAGTCCTCGCGGAGGGCTTGCTCCGTGTAATAGTTTCCCTTGATGCTCAGCTGCACTTCTTTGGCTTTGGAATTCTCAATGGTGATCTGTCGGAGCATTTGCTCCTCAGCACACGAAGGATTTCGTTTGTGTTATATGGTGTGATCGAGCGAGAGGGCTTCAGAGATTGCAGTGAAGGGTCGCGGTCATAGTTTACCCCGACAAAGAGCTGCAGCAAACGATCTCGTCCCGCCCCGGCCTCCTTCCACTGGTTATGCACCTCTAGAGGTACATTCAGTGAGCCGTCAGCTTTTCGCTGACAGAACCGCCGCAACTTGGCCCGTGCAGCCTCCTTTTGCTTGTCATCTAGATCCTGAAACTTCACAACAATGCTCTCCTCGGGCTCCGTTGCTGGGGCTGCTTGGGATTCTAGGTCCTTAACCGTTTTCTTGTGCGACTCCAACTCCGCTCGTAGCGAAAGGATCACAGAGTCTCGGTCTTTCAAGAACTCAGAAAGCTTGGTAGCCTGGTCAAGCAGTTTGGTACAGCGTGCTTCCACCGCTACCTTCTCTTCGTAAGAGTACCCAGCCGTGCACGTGGAAACATCCGAAGCCCCATCGGCTTTGTCGCTGGCTGCCTTGGCATCCCCCGACCCATCAGTCATCATCGGATAGGGCAGATACGGATCGGTGACATGGATGGCCTGGAAAGCCTCAACAGCGAAACCGTGCACAGCATGAGTATTCAGTTCCACCCAACCGAATCGAACAAGTGCAGTGCTACATTGTGGCCTTCGCCAAATCCTCGTCGATGGAATCATCCAATGTTTCCTCGTACGAGCCCTCCCTGATCAAGGCCGTAGCTTTAGAAGCAGCATCCCCGCTCTCCAATATACACCCAACAGCCTCCTCCAACACAGCATCGGGAAGTGTGCTTCCAGGGCTGTCGAACAAGTTCTTTCGGAGCTCATGCGGGGATTCCATCCGAAGCTTTTTCTTGGGGCCGGACTGAATCACCGAAGACTTCGGGGTGGCATTGATTGCAGCCGGGGCTGGGGTGCTAGGCTCAAGTCCAGGCCCGTTCACAGTCGTAGGAGGCTCACTGCTGCTTGCAGCAGACTCTTCCTTGAGGATCAGGGCCTCGAGTTCCTGTCGAAGCATGTATAGAGGGGCCCTTTGTATCTTAAAGAACACTATTCTGCAATACTTCGTAAGGATGATTCTCACACGTCCTGCGTCCGGGAAATCAGGGCATCGTCCGACTCTTGCTTGATTTGCTGAAAATCAAGGGTCTTGAGGCCGGCTTTCAAGGTTTCCGAAGAAAACTCCCGAGAGGGCAACGACATCGAGTCGGCTCGAACCGGCTTCGATGACATCACAGCTCAGCTGCTTTCAGAGCTGTGAAAAAACTAAGGCAAAACCTCGAACCCCAGTGGCATCGTGGACATCCTGTGCCTAGGCGAGCTTGAAGCACACAGCATCCGCGCTGCAGTTTGCCAACAGACAAGCAGTCTTTTTCTGCTGTCCTTCTTGCGTAGCCTCCGACTGATGCAATAATTATCACTAATTATAATGTCCTTCCTCACAGCAGACTCCGAATACACCCCCAATATGATGCAATTCCAGAAACATGCTATATATATATATATATATACCCTGCCCCGAGTGGACCCTGAGCTCACCCTGCAGTTGCTGAGTGGAAGGACTTGCAGTTCAATTCGGGCAATGGAAATCGATAGAGGCTGTTGCAGAATATTTCACAAGAACTGTAGCGTACTGTAGGATGTTTTTCTTGGGTGTTTCAGAGCAGGTGCTGCTTTTGGCTAGGTTTAACAGGAGTTTAGGGAGCCCAGTTTTCTTTGGCTTTTGCAGAGTTTAGGGGAGGAGGGGAGGGG